TTCGACTTCGGCCTTGTAGTCCGATTCCTTGATGATTTTTGCGGAGGCTTGGCATACCTACTCGGGCCTCGAAACCAAAACTCCACCCAATCACGAATGGATACCTCATGGACATCATCCTTCATGAGTTTGTAGAATGCTGAAAACAGGTGCAGACAACTTCTTGGGAGGAAAGGTTTTCCTCGATCGTCTTCTTGTGTCAACTCCTTAGCCGAGGGGATAACTTCGTCATAGAAAGACCCATGCACCGGAAGGCCTCCGATCGCGCGCAAGTCCTACAAAGAGATGGAGAGTTCACCAATAGAGGTAGAAATTGTGTTGGTAGATGGACTCCAAAGCTCACAAAAGGCGCGGAGGACATTCTCATTGTAATCATATGTGAACAACGAAGCAAAGATGGCATCATAGACCTTGATGTCATCCAGAGTCAACTTGTTGCGGGCAAGAACATATTCTACCCACTCCCAATATTTGGACGTATAGCGAACTTCACCAAAGCCGGAAGGAGGAACACTCCAAGTGGCGAAACATCCATCCTAATCATGATGAGGAGGACTAGCAGACGCGACCTTTTGATGGGTGGAGGACTTCAAAAGTATGACATTCATGTTGGTTGCTTTGCCCGAGAATCTGTCCAATGCATCCTTCATCTCTCTGGTCGACCATTCTGCAAGATCAAGAGAGGCATCAAGTGACTTCCTAGCAAGCGCGAAAGCACCTATCACCGGAGGATGAACTTTTAAAGCGAGAACTTGGGCGCGCGGATTCTGCTTGTCGCTAGTAATCTCAAGGTGTAGATATGGTGTATCGTGGTCGGTAAAATGCATCCTTGCTGATGGAACTCACAGTCCGATGTGCTGCTTCGAGAGTCTGCAAAAAAAATGATTAAAAAAGAGGAAAGGGAAGAAGCTCCGAAAATCAGCAAAACTGAAAGGGGCAACATGTCACAATATATTGCTTAAATTCGAGAAAATATCTGGGAAGCTATCGGGACATTCTGATCATGATTCTTACCTATGTCGTAGCTCTGGAATTCTAGTTTCCGTAGCCGTAAACCGCTCGTGATTTTGATGCTCCTATACCAAGATATGATTTTTTGGGTTAAGACGCGCAAAGCTGAGATGTCGAGCGTGACAGAACTTGAACTAAGTTTAGGAAGCTCACCTGGGATGATACAATGCGAATCTAAATCCAAATTTTTAATATGTTGTAGTACTCCGAGTCTAGTTCTGTAGCCGCAAACCACTCGTGATTTCGGCATTCCTACACCAAGATATGATTTTTTTGGTTAAGACGCACAAAGCTGAAATATCGAACGCGACAGAACTTGGAACCAAGTTTAAGAAGTCCAGATGGGACAGTATAAAGCGAATTTAACCTTAGTTTTTGAATATATCTTGCCTCTAAGTGTCTACTTTTTGGAGGATCAAACGGATTGAGTTTTGGACACTCCTATGAAAAGATGTGAATTGTTTTCTGTAAGTGCGCCAAGCTGTCGGACTAACGGGAGACGTCCGACTTAACCAAAGCATAAGAAAAGCTAATTGCTAGTTGCTGCTTGTTGGTTAATACGCTGAGGCTGGATGTATGACTACGTTTTGATAATAAGTTACGTTAAGCATGACCTCTTATATAGATTCAAAGGTGGTGCCCTTGATACGTTTTCAACAGAAACAACCATACCTTGTTGAACAAGGATTTCAAACATGGAAACAAATTGCAGACCCTCGGAGTGCTGGAAATATGGAAACAACCATAATATGTTTCAAACACGTTCTTACCAACCATAATATGGTTCAAACATGGAAACAACCATAACATGTTTGGTAAAAAAAAATGATTCCTTGTTTAATGTTGGAGTGCTGGAGGATTCTTACCAAATTTGTTAAGTCTTTACTTGGTCCTATATAAAATGGGTTTGACTTATTTATTTTAAGTTCATACACGTTCTTTCCATAGAAGGAATGATGACCAAGTGTTTCATGGAACAAAAAAATACTTATCCCATCAACAAGCCAAGTTATTTTGTAAATTTGGTAATACCACTGCTTAGTTCTACATTGATGGTTATTAATTTGCATTGCAAGCTAACATTCAGGCTGCAACGTAGTGATCATGGCATTTGCCAAAGGCAATTGACGCAACTAAATTCTTCTCAAACATGGGGAAAAAAATCAAGATGGTTAAGTTTGGTACATCAGACCATTTGACTAAATGATTCACGAAGGGACGTTATCTTCATGGGTACTTCAAGTCTCTTCTTTGATTTCGGCAAGCCTACATCCCGACAAACCTTGAAGCAGGGGGCATTTGTAGACAAATAAAATTTTATTAAATTTAAATCCACAATTAATTTGGATTTCATCGTATATTAAATACATATTAGTCCAAATGATACTATGGGCTAGTATAATAGAGTGTATTATTTAAGTCTAAAATGAATTGATTTAAATAAAAGTCCAATGTACTATTGGGCTAGCCCGCAAATTGGTCTTCTATCAAATAGGTCGGCCCATAAGCCTCAAGCCCAATGATTCACTAGGGTTTTCTTGGAGACTACTCCACCCCATGCCTATATAAAGGGGTCAGAGGAGAAGGCTAAGACAAGCAAGGAAGCAGAAGGAAAGGCTAAAGAAGCTCTGAAGAATAGCATCAAGGTCTCCATCCATATCTGCAATCATCGTTTGTGGTCAAATTCCAAAGGCGAACTCAAGTCATAGGCGGGCGGCTTCAAATCTTCCGTTCGTGATAACCCAACACCAAATCCTGGTTCGTGACGAGCTTCAAATTGTTCGTGACGTACTACAAATATGAAATCCGTCAAGTTCAAGATCAAGCTCTCGAGCTCTTGAACCGTCATCCGTGAGGAGGAGAATCAGAGGACTACATCTCTTTAGATTTAGAGATATTTTAGAGATTGTAACCCCATCACTTGAAATTAAATATAATATTTGTCGTTATATTTCTTGTCTTGATTATTATTTTTCAGGAGCGAAATTTAGTTGTTACAACGTCTTATATAAAACATTTTAACTTTTTGCTAGTCAAAAGTCTCTTTTCGATATGTTTGACTTTATGTATTTACCAGATATAATTTTTATCATTTTAAATGGTTCAATAGTTTTAGAAATTTCAAATTATTTAGAATAAAGTTTTCATGACGGGGATAACTGAAAGAGAAAAATAATGTTGTTGACATTAACAATCACTAGTTTTAAAATTTAAATTATCTAGACTTAAAAGGAGATAAGGTACTCAAATTGAAACAGAGCAATTATCTCGTGACATGTATGACAAAACAATCAATAGTTTTTAAATTTTAAATTATTTCAGATTAAGTTTTCATACAGGAGCTAATAAGTACTTAAAGTTGATACAGAACAATTATTTTTGAAAAAAGAAAACAATTATGTTGTGACACTAACAACAAAATTGTTATTGCAGTGATGAATTCCGTGAAAATATTCACTCATTATTCGCCGTCATTGTGTTAGAAATGGAAAAGTATTGCATTTTTTTATATTGTTTGGTCAAATTTTTAGGAAAAAATAAGCGTATTTAAATAATATCAGAAGTTATTTTTTAGAAGCCAGAAAGTAGTTTTTCTCACGAGCATTTTTGCAATCTTGGTCAAGCATAAATTGATGCTCTAATGTTGGCGCAAGAGTATTTTTGTCAAAATATCAATGGCTATTTTCTAAATATACTTTTTCAAAAATTACTTTTTCAAAAAATACTTTTCAACCTGAAAGGTTATAATGGACATAATATGAAAATTATTGTCCTTCAAATCTAGTTTCCAATACTTTAAAATTATTCGTCATTTGGACGTTCCCACGAAACTACATATAATTATGCTTATTTACTAATTGTGCCTTTGGTTATAATGCTCGAAAAAATGCGAAATGTAGTAATTGACTAATTGCAAGTAAAGGGTAGTAAGATTAGTATTTTCAAAAAGTAGTAATAAATTAACAAGCAATATTTAATTATTGATCATTCAATAAATAGCCTTTCCAACTAGGAAAAAAATATGCTATTAAGCCAAAAGCTCCTCGAGTTCATGTTTGTCAAGTACAATTGCACGTTGAAACAAGTTCGAAACACAAGATAGCAACAATAAAGGTTTACTTTTACCAAAGGTATATGGAATTATTTCAAATTTTTTTGGCAATATTCATGATGTAAATAATTAATTTTCTTTCACTTATATCACACGATAAATAGCATGGGAACAAAATGAGGTGAGGAGATGGAAAAGGGATCTCAATTTCAACAAAGACAAAAAATTATTGAGGTATTATCACTTTTAGCCCGCGCTAAAAATTATTTAAATTTGGTAGCAGAAAAAGTGTATAAAATATGTATAATTATTGTATATAACATACAAAATATACAAAAATATACAAATTTTATATATTTTGTCTACTATTATTTTTACAGCATCTATACAGTATCACTTTTCCAAAAATATTAGGCAAAAACTCGACACCTATGGAAGTGAGAATAGCAAATACCTCGTGAAATAGTCTGACCCGAACAATATTACCTTAAAAAATGGTAAAGAGATCACATTCCCTTTAAAATAATTTACTCTTTTTTGTTTCCTTTTCTTAATAGAAAAATCACGCACGTGCTTTTTTCTTCCTCTCCAAAATTACTTCTAAAACATTACTACCAAATAAGAAAAACAAAAGAAATAACGCTTCTTCTCCCAAAACCGAACGTTATTTCTCAAACATTAATTGAACCAATTATAGAAACCTGACCAAATTAGTAAAGAAAATTAAAGTCAATTATAAAAGTTGAAAAAGCAAAAAGGTACCAAAGAAAAGAAATATACAAAGTCTCAACCGAAGCAAAAAAACAATTTAAAAAGGAAAATTCTAGAAATACAAATATTATTTAAAAAAAAAAATTTGAGTTGAGAGTCCTACATGAAGATTACACGCGGACGCTTATATTGGTTCTTGAAATTGTCATATTCTCCACTTTCTTTGGGGGGAAAAGGAAAAGGTAAAGAAGAAGAAGAGAGTTTTACTGATGTTCTACTCCTTCTACACTTCTATTTCCACTGAATATTATGCCCAATTTTTTCCAATTCTCTCTTCTTCTTCTTTTGTTGTATTTTATTTTCTTTATCAAAGAGTAAGCAGAGCAGAAACAAGAAAAAGAGACAGAAAAGAAATTATATGTCGTTTGTGATCACAACAGATGTAACTGATCTGGCTAGAACAGCTTCAGACCAACTCTGGCCCTTTTCTCATTCCTTTTTATTTGTCAAATTTTGGAGGCAAGAAAAGTGTCTCTCACCTTCTTCCATGCCAGAAAGGTATGATCTTTATTCTTTAAAATCTTTCAATTTTTGCATGTTTCATATATACTGTATGTGTGATGAGAAATAGAAAATTTGTTTTTTTTCTTCTTTCTATTGTATGATTTACATGTTTTGTTGTACTTTTCAAGAAGAAAAAAAAGATTTTACATGATTTCTTGTGACATTGGCATTTATGGGTTTATGGGGTTTAAAGGGGTTTTTGTGTTTTATATGTGCAGGATTTGTTTTGGGGTTTTTCATGTAAAAAGCTTCTGCTTTTATAATTTGGCTACAGAATTTCTGGGATTTTCTTGGGACTGACGATTTACTAGAGATTTAATTCTTTAGGGGGGTTCAGGGTTTATCTATTTTCTCAACAAATGCCCTGCCTTCCCCAAGAATTGTTTGATATGATGTCTAATAAGGAGAGGGTAAATGATGGTTGCATTGGTTTACCGAGAAAAGTTCGGATCATTTATGATGATCCTGATGCTACTGAATCTGAGGGTGAGAATGATCATAATACTTGTAATGTTGTTAGAATCAAGCGTGTCGTTAAGGAAGTGAACATATCTAGTGCTTATTTGGAGAAAGACTTTGAAAAATGTTTGGTCAAAAGCTCCAAGAAGAGTCTTGAAAATAAGAACAAGAGTGGTCTTGAAAATAAGAAAGTGCAGATAAAATCGTCGTCATTGCCTAAAGGAGTTAGGATGAGGAAATGGGGAAAGTATGCAGCGGAGATCAGAGACCCCTCGCAAGGGAAAAGAATATGGCTTGGGACTTTTGACACTGTGAAAGCGGCTGCAGAAGCATATAATGCAAAGAAGGCTGAGTTTGATCGAAGGATTTTGTCCGAAAGGGGTAAGAATTTGAGTTCCCCTCGAGCTCCCCCTGAGTGTTCTACAGCTTGTTCCTCTCATCCTACAAACAGGACCAGTAGTTTGTACTCGCATCCATCCCCGTCTTCAGTGCTAGATGTACCAACTTCATCAGCTGCCACAGCAGTTGAGTGCATTGACATTCCAATGAAAGACAAGAATCCAGTGCCAGTACTCGAGGTAGAGCAACCAGCTTCAGAAATCGTGGAAAAGCAATTGTTATGGCCGCCTTCAGGTTGTCAAGATTTTAACCCGAGATTTGAAGATCAAATGCTTTATGAAGATCCTTTGATAGAACAAGGCACCATAAGCGATATCCTTGTGGAGATGACTGAATTCAATACCATGAAGAAAACAAAAGCTCGACAACCAACCATAGAAATTTGTCAAAAGTCTACAAAGGGAATTGAGGACCGTCGTGTGAATTGCACTGAGCAATCAATCACGTCTCCTTCTATTAGTGCAGAGCTTAACATGATGAACTTCGAAGAAACTGCAGTTTCGGGGAATAACTTGAAACATCTAGGCTTTGACGAGAATGCTCTATTTGGTAAGGATTTTACACAAACTTTTGATCCTTATACAGATTTTATAGGTCTGGACAGCAATTTTCTCTGCTGTGATGGTATAGAGGAGTTTGTTTATGGCGTGAACGAAGACTTCAGAGATAATGTTGCAGCTAAATCGCCAAAATTGGATGAAGTTGACCTTAAATGGTTAGACGAGGTACTGGTACAAGATCAATCAGTTTCGTAAGTACTAAGTACGATTAAGTTAAAATGGTGAGCAATGAGAGGTTGTTCTTGGGATTTTTGCTTTTGCTTCGTAGTTCTGCCCAGGATTTTTGACTCTAATCCCATCACCAATGAGGTAAAAAAAAAAAAGAAGAGGAACTTGTAGAATAGATGATATTCTATTTTTTGTTGTTAGCTATTACTATTAATATTACAGCAATTGTGCCAAAGATATAATCTGTGTAGTAATATATGATCCATTTTGCACTTTTGTTGTGGCTGCTTGATTTTATGTGGAGAATCTGGAATGTGAGAAAGGTAGTGGCCCTTTTGCTTTTTTTTTTTTTCATTCTTCTTGTCTTTCATTAGGGTACCTTTCTCATGCTCCCAGTTGTGGGTGGTGGATGTTGTGGTACAAGAAGAATTAAATTACTTTGATGCTATGAATATTTATTGAAAATGATGGATATCTGCCATTTTTTATTTTACAAAGGAAATGAAGAACTAGAAATATCAAAAGAGGAAAATAATCAGTTAGTGGGAGGATGCCACTAACTGCTATGTCCAGTAAACAATTTCAGAACTTCCAATTCATACGTAGTTGACTGGTATTGAAGATGACAAAAATTAGTTAACATGTATGAGATGTCTTTGACACGAAAATATTCGACCATAAGTCAAAAAAAAAAAAGGGGGGGGGGGGGGGGGGGTCGGGGAAGAAGCAAAGAAGATGCTAAAGTGGTTGTACCTTCTCCAATGTACCAACTTGAATAATACAGGTCAACTCGTCTTGGTTTGTCCTTCCTGGGAATAGAAGGGCATGGCACTCCCTGGTACACAAAATCAGAAGGCAAATCAATACCCAAAGAGGGCCTCAAAATACAGAATAATTANCACGGTGCATTAAGATCTGGGAATGGCCGGACCACAGGGGTCTATTATACATAGCCTTACCCTGTATTTCTACTAATATTTTTTAAACGTTACCTTTCCCCTACCTTCCCTTTAAATTTGAGGTTTTTCAAGCGTTCTTCAAAAGTTATCTAGAAGTAAACTTGTGGTTTTATTTGGCCTCCCATGTTCAGGATAGTGGTATAATAATACAATAAGAAAAGTTTGCCATCTAAAGCTGTTTAGTTTATTATCAAGCAGAATTATTAGTGTCGCATGTTGTAAAAGGACAGGAGTATTCCAACCTTTTGGAAACATTGACTTAAATTTTCTGTTGGCTTTTACATAATAAGTAGTGTATTTTCGCGTTAAATCACTCAATTCCCTTTCTAATTCTCTTTACTAAGATGCGTAATTCTGTAGGACTGGCACGTTTCAAAAGTTCAAGCTCCGCTTTTTAAGAATCCAAGATTCTAAATTAGGCACAAGTTCAAAATTCGCAGCTTTTTAGATTTCAGTTGGTTTACACGTTTCAAATGTTCCAGCTCTTTTAGGCCCGTTTGGCCATGAGTTTAGTCAAAATAAATTTGGAATTTATTTTCAAAACTCATGTTTGGCCATAAATTTTGCCCATATTTTGGTCAATTCCCAAAACCCAAATCCCAAATCCCACGGCCAAAATCCCAAAACTTGGGAATTATATACATGTTTTTCCAAAATAAAGTTGGAAAATATGTTTTGAAAACGTATGCCCAAATACATTTTCATCTTCAAATCAAACTTCACCCGAATCAGATTTTTCAAAATAAATTTTGAATCTATGGCCAAACGCTAGCTTAAACTGGCAGTTGACTTGATATTTGAACGCAACATAAACGTTCATATCTCTCTCTTTTTAAGGTTGCATTTACTTATTCACTGGTTACAATGAATAATCCATTCTTTGTCGGAAACAAAACCCGTTTGCTTCGGGTGAAACTGTGCTGTCCATATCACTATAATAATAGAAAACACAAATATTAACACTAATATGAATACTCGAGTCTCAAATGGTTTGACCACCAGCATCCGTTACTTCCCACTGTTCTTGTTCTTAGGGAATTGATCACCAACACTTTTCTCATGGTCTGGCATCAAATACGAAGTTGTGGATTGTTTCACCTGACACTGTCCTTTGACGACATTTGCAGTGGTATTCACATACTATCCACAACTTCGCCCACCAGCCATCAACACTCCGGATATTTTTGTTAACAAATCAACATTTTGTGGACCGTGCCGCGCCGATACAGTTATTTGAGGGAATTTTTTGTTAATGAGCCTGATGCATATTGCAGCAATTTTCTTACTAACCGTAGGATCAATGATTGATGCTCTTGCAACCCCTGTCACATAAGGACATGAACCTTAAGTCATTTATATTTCCTGATCATCAGAACAGAGACAACATACAAAAAGTTCTTTGAACCACATGTCATGATTTTCTTTCCTATCTATTAGTACTGAACAAAAGCTGATTTCCTCGTTCATAAACCTTGCCATATGAAACAAAATCCGTTCAGAATCACGATTAAATGAATCACAAGATTGTGCACGGAGTTAAGAGGTCTCTGCTCCTCGCAAATCCTTTCCGTCCAACTTACCATGTTCCTCCTTGTCCTCAGTTCCTTTGTTTGCACTAGGATCTTATATGCACCTGAACTCAAAAGCTTATCGTTGCAGTGTCTGGATGCTGAGTGGATACATGGAGCTGCTTTTCAAAGTGCAAGCACCACTGCAGCATAACTTCATCAAGGTCGCCCTGCCGCATGGTATTTCAAGCTACTACGAAGAAGAAGTTGGACGGGAAGGAATGGTCAAGTCTCACTGCCTCCATCAGTAAAAGCCAGTTCACACACTAGAGCAAGATGATCACTTCCCCATTTCTGCAGGAAAAAGAAACTTAAATATAATAAGATACTTAGTTATGCATTAAAAAAATTGGAGAATTTAATCTTAGCAAAAATCAGTACTTTTGGCATGCTTACATGATCCCATTTTATTTACATGATCTTATATCCTTAAAATGGGACATCAGTGAAATCATAACCCTCTAACTTGCAACAAAGTATGAATATTATAGAAGACTGAAGTGAAACTTGTCAGCAAGTTTCATGGAAAAAAGGAACACTACTTAGGATATGGCCTTATAACCTTACTAGTATTTAACGAAATCAGTCATGGGATAATATCCCCTGACCAGACATTTTCTTCCCTGAACATCGCACTAATTTTGTAGTGCACAAACATGTAAGGGGTCCCTACCAATGTACCGGTTATATTATCAGCTATAATGAACTCACTAATTCATTTCTTCTGCAGACACTGCTATAAAATCAAGTGGTTATTCTCTAGTAAAAGGAACTCTCACTAAAATTTTGCCGGTGTTGGTTAGTCACTCAAATTAGTAAATTGGTTACACCGATGAACCAGGATTAAATGCAAACTAGCGAATGCCGTCTAAATAACTGCTGCAGCTTGTGCCTGGCCGACACAGACGGTTCATCAAGGTGATTATAGGAAAAAAGGTGACTTCTATAATTAAAAAAAAAAAGGAAAAAGGGGGGTAAGGGGGGGTGGGGGGGGNNGGGGGGGGTGGGGAATGGTGATTTCATCCCCATCTTCCAAGTTCAGCTATAGGATACGGGAAATTTTTAGCATTGCTGTAACTTCTCAGAATGCCCTTCCAACAGAAAAACATTTCTAAGTCATCATTTTTATCATATCCTCTACAGAAACAAAGCACTTAAATGTTTTCCATGGTAGCCATAGCTTAATATACCTTACTAGGAAGCCCTCCTGTTCTCCTTAAAATATCAATAGGTAAGGTATCAAGAACTCTTACTGGAACAAACTCTGTTGTGTGCCTGTAGAACCTCACAATGTTTAAAAAGAAAAAAATACCATTGACACATGAAAGAAATTCTCAATTTCAGGTTTATCCACTGCTCCTCTAAAGTAAAGAGTACCATATATAGTCAACAGTCCCCATAAACTTGGAGTGATATGATGTCACCAAGGGTTCTCCAGAGTTGTCCCTGGTTCCAGAGCTTCCCTAAACATTAAAATACGAAGACATCACCTACAAGCAACATGGGACTAAAGCTCTAAAAACCGAAACCTGTTCGCCAAAGGCAAAATAATAAGCAGGTAAGAAAACTTTTGGGAGAGAAAAAGATTAACCCCTATGTTTCGAATTCTTTAAGCATTTGGAATTCCAACTAGGGCTCATTTAGAGCATCTATTTGTATTTCTACAGAAAACTGCTAAGATTAAGGGAAAAAACACCACCAATAGTGAAAAGACAACAGAAGTAAGCAAGAGCAGGGAAAAAACTAGCCAACCCCCTCCCCTACCCCCCCCCCCCCCCCCCCCCCCCAAAAAGAAAAGCACGTGTATAGTGAAAGAAAAAGAGGGGGACAGAAAACAAAAGGAGAAGAATAAGAAGGAAAAGAAGAAAAAAGAGAACATGAAGAATAGTAAGGTAAAGGAAGCTGTCCCCACCATAAATCACAGCCTAAAACTCTTTTGCCCAGCTTTTCTTTTTCATGCTCTTCTTTTTTCCAGCTTTCTTCTCAATTTGTTATGGTTTGCCATTTTCCCCTCCTTTTGACCTTATGATAATTCTCTTTTTTTTCCCCTATCTTTTCTTTAATTCAATCTCGAGGGGAAATATACCTTTTGGCTCTAAATTTTAACAGTAATTGATTAAAGAATTAAACAGAAGAGGCTAAGGGAATCCAAGGTATAGGTAATACCCTTTTCCTTTTCTTTTTAAAAAGATTTTAACAAATGAAAATATATGCTACAATCAATTAAATAATGGCAGAGATTCAGTTAAAAAAAATAGAAGCAGGGAAATTTTGCAAGAAGAGAATATACAGGAACTCCAGCATAGGCACTGCTCAGCTGTAATTGATGTATCAGGTGACTAGCTCCTGTCCCGGTAGCAAGCCTTAGCTCCTCATCACTCCATCTATAAATTAAGCTGTTCAACGTTTATAGGACTTCATTTATGAGCAAGTAATACTCCACAAGTGAAAGATACATTAGCCACTTATTGTTAAAGTTAGAACCATTTGTCATTTGAAATTGGTAAGGCATCAATTAGGTGTGCATAAATTATAGAGAGCACATAAAGAACCTTGACTTGAAGCTTCTATTTTGTGATGGATAGATTTGGCCAGAAATTTGCTTCCGTTCATGCATTTGGATGTCCAACTGTTCCAAATGCCAAGTGATTTAGAGAAAGTAAAATATTCAAATTTGAAGAAGATAAACCGATGTGCAGAACATAAAAATCACAAAGTTCGGTAGCTAGGACTCACCTTACTTGAAGTCAAAAACTGATACATTGCACTCTGAGCAATAATAAACAGAAAATTAGATCTGCAAGAACCAATATAACATTTTCTATGTTTCAGAGTAAGTAAATTACCTGGGGCATACTATTAAGATCTCCAGCTAGCACAACTGGTATATCACCCCACTCTAGTGATAGCCTTTGGGCACTCTCAAGAAATAGTCTAACCTATAACATTAACCAATATTATTAAAAAAATTCCCTGATAAATAAGAAGTTTTTTCGCTGAATTTTTTTTTTTAAAAGTCCAAGATTGACCAACAGGAACATTGTCTGTTTCCAATAAGTCTAGGTAAGACTGAGATGCATTTCAAGTCGACTGGTTATTCCTAGTTCTTTGGAACTTTATCGCTACAAAATCACCCTTTGAACCGTATAAGATTTAGTTCAGAAAATTTTAATTTTCACTTGGAAAGTGAAAAGGTCTAGAAGAACTAGTGTTTAAGCAAAATAAATAAGGCTAGTCCTATGAAGCCGTAATTAAGAATGCTACAAGAGATGTTATAGGACAGGCAACCCGTACAATACCTGAACTTCTTTTGAACATAGGTTTATGCAAAATGTTTTGCACAAGTACGAGGAGCAGAGAAGGGATGCAGGCCTGGCAGGTCTAGATCAAATTGTTGGTTCTGGAACCAAACTCAGTAACACCACTACCCTTTGGCCTTTGTTAAGAAGGCACATGTAAATAGACATCACGTAAAACTGTTATAAAGGATGTGAAGCTGTTCTAGGAAGGAATTGCAGTTAGACCACACTCAAGCAGAGGGAGATCAACAATGTCATACTTCTCAATATGGAAAAATCCGTCAAGTCTTTAGTGACAATGGTATTACCATGAAACAATTGAATGATAATTGTTGCTGAAAATATTTACCTGCCCCAACTTAATGTCTCCGCGGTTAGGGTTGAAGAGTACATGAATATTGCCAACCACAAAGCTTCGTGATGATATACTCCTACACAAAAATTTGGACAACCATAACCAAACAGATTAAAAAGAACTTAGGTAAAACTTTCACAAAATACTGCAAAAAATGACAATTTTTAAAAGTTCAACATGTTGAAAATAATGATAAAATAGAGCAAACTTACTCCGAATTTGAAGCACCCATATCCTTACTTGAGTTTTTCACGTTCATCTGAAAAGTTGATGAAAAGAACTACAGATCAAAATAGGCTCCAGCTGAATATTAGAGTAAAATTAATCTTTGCGACCATCTTGTAATGAACAGGGGAAACAGAAGGCAGACGTGCATGGAAATCAAAGAAGTATCGTATCATCTATCCCTTTATTCATAACTTATGCAGCTTGGGTAGAGTGCATGTATGTCATAACGCCACACTGCTATTCTTTCGCCAGGATGGAACTTTTTGGTGGAGGGTTGACTAAAGGAGCTAGACACTAGAGTTACCTCGGAGATTAAAAAGCCTCATTTTTAATAATTAAAACATCTGATATCATGGAAGCTGAACATGAAGTTGTGTCAAAGAGATGGTAAATCCATGAAACAGTATGTATTTCTGAAAATATCAGCATATTTTAGTTTGATCAGCTGAATTACTAACAATCCAAAGCAACCTTCTTATAGTAAGTTAGTACTTAGTAATTATTAGAATCTTAAGAAGCAAATTGGAAGTTCCAAAGAAAGAGATAATGTTATACTTAGAGCAAAAACAACCAAATAGAAATTTAATATTTTAAGTATAACACATAGCAGGTTTACCTTGAAAACACAAAGTTGGCAAACATTATTGCGTAGATCAAACTTCTGGAATTCTATGCTCTCCTCGTGCAGAAGGTCAAATCTGCAACCAGATATATATTTGTAATATGAGAGAGTAGAATAAATTGGATAAGCTAGTAGGAAAAGCTCATAGCAGTAGGTTTTCAATTTCCACAGAAAATAACAAATATTGATAAGCAAAAAACAAAGCTTTTAGCAGTAGGTCTTCATATCCCATAAGAAGAATCTACAGCTTACTAAGCAACAACAAAATCTGAAAGAAATTAAGAAAAAATCAAGGCCATACAGTTCTCTGTTCCAAAATATAGCACAACCATCACATGCATCACCTGTACGAGCCTAGTAAAGGGAAAAGAAAACACACATTTGATTCAATATGTGATAAAAAAGTTCAACATACAAATCATCCCTAAAGAATTTCAGCCACAATTATAATGCACCTGATAAACTCCTTTGAAGCCCTCTTTCTTGAGGAGATAATCTAAATCATCATAACAATCAACCTCCTGCGGGCATACGAGTATAAATAAGTTTCTCTAAAGAAGCAGAATATCTTCATAAAGTGTTTAGCAAGTAATGCACTTTCTAAGAAGATAATGAAACAATAATTTCAACTACAATGTTATTTATTTCTTGGTCTCTCAGCTCATTTTCCTCCCCTTCCTTTTTGATGAGTAAAGGTACAGAAAGCTAGAAAATTTGAAATTAAAACTTACCTGGAAACACATTATACCCGGATTATATTCTCTAATTTCCTTGCGAATAAGCCGCTTGCGGTAGTCCCAATCCAAATATTTTGGAGCAACATTGTGGTACAGATCCTCATGATCAGCTGCATTTTTTACCCCTAGTATATTATACGACATAAAAACAACCCTATCTGCAAAATCAGGGTGACTATTCAGACATAACAAAAAAGGCAATGCACTTGCCAAATTAAGAAAACAAATAGTATTCAATATTTGGATCGTAACAAAAGAAATTTCGAATAAATTCGTAACTAACCTTGATATGGGGAAACATTGTGAGTAGAATAAACCCACTTGCGCTTATCCTCTGCACTCGTCCTCTTTGATTTTCCTTTATGCCGTTTTTCTTTGCGCCTATTATACGAATAAGTGTTGGAAGTTGCATATGTATGGGTATAAGAAGTGGAAGTATGATTCAGGGTTAGGGTTTCAGTTTCAGTCTCAGTTTGACGTATTGTTACTCTTTGCTTCTTTTTGCTGCGGTGTTGACCAACGTCGTGTTGACTAGTTCTACTTCTCTTTGAATCGGAAGACCGAGAAGGCTTCTCCGCCGGTGGATATCTGCCGTCGCCGGTTCGGCCCATGTTCCCGGGAGATTTAAATTTTGGCGGCGCGTGCTTAACCCTTTATCGGACGAATAGGGGAAAAGTGAAAGATGCACAAGTATGCCGCTATGTTACAATTGGCCCTATATTTTCGAATATTAGAAAATTTATCCCTCTTATTTTGTCATTAATGACGAATATAACCCCTTGATGACTATTGACTCACACTGAGATAACATAGTCCTACTGATTATGTGATATAGATCTATAATGGAATATGAAAACATTGCATGTTACAGGTTAACCTTATCATGAGTATTTGATTTAAAGGATAACCAGATCTGCAAAATTTTAAATTACTCTATTTATTTAAATTGATCAGGATAGACTTACCTTTATTCAAGAGTAAAATGTTTGATTCGATATATTCAATTCTTTTATGGAGAAAATTTTGGAATGTTGTTTTGAAAAAGGACAAAAGGAAGGTTAAAAAATCATGTCAATAGTGATATGTGTCTATTTATAGTATTTGAGTTGTTCAGGGAAATAATTATTTGTCATTTTAGGAAAGGGGTCTTATTTTTTGAAGGGACAAGGTTGAAAGGAAACAAACTGAAGTAATGGCATACCTACTAGTCCAATATACTCCTAGTTTTTTTTTTTGGTTAAACTGAAAATTTTATTTAATCAAGTAAATATTTACATTCACCCGCTCATTTGACTCTAGAGTCGGGTTTACAAAAATAACCTCTTTTGTAACAAATTGATCCCCTATCTACCTTACTAACTATGCTAGCATGGGAATCTATCTATCTAATACTCCTTTCCATTTACAATAATTCTCTCCTCTCATATGTAAATGAAGTACTATATCTCTAACTAAATCTTTACTTTCTCTGCTGATTTGTTGAAATCTTCTAAAGTTTCTTTCCCTCCATATTTGGTACACTGCAGCAGCAAAAGCATTGCCCAGAATTGTCCATTTCATATCTCTGCTCTTTATTTTCTTTGTCATCCAGTTGACTTCCTCTTGCCAATTTCCTACTGTTCTATTGATATCAAACAGCTGCAGAAGTTAATCCCACATAAATTTTGAATATGCACACTCAAAGAATAGATGTTCCATAGTCTCATCTTTTCCACTTGTGCACAATACACATTCCTTTGCTACATTGATGCCCCATTTGATTACACATTCCCTAGTTGTTACTTCTTACATTTGTTTTTTTAAAAGTCAAACCAATTTTTTTTTAAATAATTTCTAAATATACCCTTATATCATTTTGATATGCCGAAAATACATGCAATTTATAGTACTTTCATGTAGTTTCTACCAATCGCAATTTTGCTTTGGATTAAGATTATTTAATATAGTTAAATGACAAATAAATGAGAATGCGAATAGTATGCATATAGTGGGCGTTTGGACATAAGAATTGTAAAATTCCAAACAAAAAGTGAAATCTTTTTTCCAAATGAAAATGGTATTTGAAAATTAGAGTTGTGTTTGGACATGAATATAATTTTGGGTTATTTTTGAAGTTCTGTGAGTGATCTAAGTGAAAATTTTAATTTTTTTTTGTAGTTTTTCAAATTTTTAAAAAATTTCAAAATTCATTTTCAAGTGAAAATTGAAAATTTTACGGCCAACACTAATTTCGAAAAAAAGAAAAAAAATTCTTATGTCCAAACGGACTCTTAATCGCCTGTCACAATTAAAGAAAAATTGATGCATGTCTTGATTCTTTAACACATAGTGACGAAATTTATATCATACTTATGATAAGTGATACTAATATTTATTTGACAGTATAGCTTAAATTATGAAAACTGCATGTGAATGCCAACATTTCTCAGCAATTGACATTGGAAGTGTAAAATGACTGGCAACTGACATTTGCCTGCTTCTTTCAAGAACTCAGCTCTGGTCCTCCAATATTTAATGCCATAGTTTCTACAAAAATCCCAGTTATCTTTGCTTTGCTGTCTCTCTGTCCTAATAATTTCTTCACCTAACCAACTTTAATTCAAGAAAACCAAAATCAAATATAACAACAAGAATTACAAATATTGAAACAGTGTCCTTTGTTATTCATGTCAAGCAGAAATGACAAGCAAAGTTCTTTTCCCTATTCTACTTCCAATTCTGCTTCTTTCTCTGCCATATTTTGTGGTAGCAAAATCTGTGTTTGAACCATGTAATGCATCTGATTCATGCTCCTCTTATCTCTTGTATCGCCTTCCATTGGACTCCAAGATTTCTGAAATAGCATTCAGGTTTAAAGTCAATGTCTCTGATCTTTTAGCAGCCAATTCTATTGATTCAAATCAAGTAAACCAAATCCTACCTGAAAAATCATTTGCGAAAATACCCATTTTTTGTTCATGTGTTGATGGCATACGACGATCTTCGTCTACTCATTACACGATTGGAGCAGTTGATACTTTGATGTCAATATCAGAATTGTATGGAGGACTTGTTAGTGCAGAACAGATTGGTATTGCTAATGGGATTGATGTAGAACATCCTTTAGCCAGTGGACAGAGTCTTGTTATTCCTTTGCCGTGTACATGTTTCAATAATAGCAATAATGGTGTAGCCAGTGTGTACATGTCATATGTGGTGCAGAGTAGAGATGACTTAACAAAAATTGCAGCTGAGTATGGTGTCACAGTTGGGAATTTGGAGATCATAAATGGACTTGGTCAACCTCAAATTGATCCTGGAGATATTCTGGCTATTCCTCTTGCTGGTAAGTAAACCAAAGCCCCCCCACCCCCTTTAGACACACACACACACGCAAAAAGTTACTGGGAAAGAAACCTACTAGTACTACATTTTATTGGGAAAGGGTCAAAAGTATGATTTTACTATACAAAAGGGCGCACACTAAGCTCCCGCTATGTGCGAGGTCCGGAGAAGGGTCGGACCATAAGAGTTTATTGTATGCAGCCTTACCCTACATTTCTGCAAGAGGCTGTTTCCACGGCTTGAACCCGTGGCCTCCTGTCTACGTGGCAACAACTTTACCAATTACGACAAGGCTCCCCTTCAATACAAACAGCTTGAACCCGGTGACCACAAGGTCTACTATACACAATATCTTAATTTTATCCGACGTTATACATAGAGACATCCATACTCTTTTCGTTAGTAAATCCTCTCATACTGCATTTGTCCCTAATAAAGTTCCAACTTGAAGTACAACAGAGGTAACCTTAAGCCAGGGGCGGATTCGCCGAAAAATTACATATGTATATATAAGGCAAAATCTGATTTTTAACTCTATATATTATGTTTTGAATCCCCTTGACATAGCCCAAAAGTCCTGCTCCGCCATTGCCTTAAGCCATAGTACTTAAATATAGAGCGGACACATGGAATCCACTCTGTCCATGTTGGTGTTCCATTTAAGTCAATGACAAATAAGAGATGAGTTGCAAATGGCAAGGGTTTGTATAACCCCAAAGTATAATAGATGTTAAAAGTAAGATATTTTGTATAGTAAATTTGAACCTTATATCTATTTTATTCTTCTGCCACTAAGCTTATGTCCTCTGTAGCATGTACATCAGCAAATCTGAATTGGTACAACGAAAGCCTAATAATTCCAAATGGTTCTTATGCTTTAACTGCTAACAACTGCATCAAATGTGGCTGCAGGTCTACTGATCTCAGGTAACCAATACTTCAAACTCGATAATCATGATACATATTTGCTTATCAATTTCAAGTTTAAATTAATTTTCAACACTTAATCTTTTGATGTTTGATCGAACAGCATGGAGTGTTCAGCTTCAGGAATTGTGGATAAATGTTCACATTTACAGTGCAAAGACTCCAATCTCTTTATTGGAGAAAGGCATGAAAAGCACACAGCATTTGGTAATTGCAATGTTACAGCCTGCATTTATCGTGGACATCTTGGAGGCAAAACTTTTAGAAGGTATTAAGAAACATATCTCCAGGCAAAAAACAAAAACAAAAAAACTAATATCTCTCTTTGTTTGGTTCTGCAGTTTGGTGAATTCAAGTGATGTCAAGTGTTTAGGTAATAAATCAAATCCCAATTCTTGAAAAGATGTTACCTCGTTTGACATTTATTTTAATTTCTCAATCCTAATATATAGGTGTTTATAATTTGGGAAAATGACATTACATAGCCGCTCTCGAAATAATAGCCGAAAAAATGTAGGAGTATATTTTTTGTATATATATATATACATTATGTATGTTCTATACAAATTTTATGCACTTTTCCGGCTACCAAATATAAATAGTTTTTAGCGTGTGCTAAAAGCGAAAAAAGTCCGTTAATTTTACTATTTTTCCTTGGATATGTAGGTAACCAGAGTCAACGTACAGGGTCATCAATGGCAACTGATTACATATCTCCTTATTTGGCATTATCTCCATCTCCATCCCCATATTCCGCCAAAAGCCACACATTAGAAATCAATTTTAGTCCTGCTCATAGACATAGTAAAAAATCATTATCTCAAGTGTTACACTTTAGTTTACTAGTTTTGGAGCTTATCCTTGAAATATTCTTGTAAAAATTTTCTTTGGGGGGCTATTACATATAAAGGGGGTCGAGGAGGGGAGTTGGAAAAAAGACGTAACGAGAATTGAACTTACACCTATTGTGTAATGAATGCATGGATCTTGATACATTGCAATCGATTCCCACTGGCCTTTTCTCGTTCCTTGTATTTTTTTGGTTAAAGCATATCATGTAGCATTAATTAAACTGACGGGAATGGCTGAGAGGAGAATTTATTTAGGTCCCCAACTGGCTTTTTCTGGCATCTTCAAACTGAGCAACACTAGGACAAAATATAGTACTTTTATTCAAGCTAAGAGGTATATGCTTATTTGGAACTTGAATATGCAGTCATTTACTCGAAAGAAATCCTGCTTTGGTGTTTTCAACTTGAGCGTCCTTTTTAAGACACACAATAATCACTAATAAAATTCTTTTTTATTACAAGTTTTGACGATCCATCAAAACTCGTAATTTGATTTAAATGACAAATGTTTGTCAAACCTTGTATGATAATAGATATTTTTACCCCTTCCACTAACTTTCCTATGGCCGGCCTTAAAAAAAAGGACAGCTCGGTGCACTAAGCTCTCGCTATGAGTAGGGTTCGGGGAAGGGCCGGAACACAAGGGTCTTGTAAAGGAGCTCACCAATTGTATAGCTGTCACTTAGGTGTCATTAGGTGTTAAACCATAGTTAGGCTAATTAACTAGAGTAGTTAGTTTGTTAATAGTCTGTTAGTTATATATCTACAGTGTATTTGGACATTGAGGCGGTTAAGTGGAAAATAGAAGAAAACTCATTTCACAATTTCTCTCTCTACTCTTTCTCCGCAGCTCGATCTTCTTCATTCGTCTTAGTCTGATTCTCCAAATCTTTGAGAATTAACATGGTATCAGAGCCTTAATCGTGTGAATCTAGGGGTTTTCTTCGCGGATTTAGTCGAAAATCAAGAGATTCGCCGAAAATTTGTTTGCTGATTTGTGCCCTAATTTCAATGGTGGGAGATACAGTCGACGAATAGGAATTCACTGAACAATCAAACACGCAGGAATCGATTGTGATTGATCACAATCATCCTTTATATCTACATCCTTCTGATGGACCGAGTTCACTAGCATTGGGAATTCAATTGATCGGAATGGAAAACTATAAACTTTGGAGCCAAGCTAAGGAATTTTCGTTGCTAACATGAAACAAGCTAGGTTTTGTTGATGGTTCGATCACCAGAGATACCTATGGAACTAGGTTCAATCATCCATGGGATCGTTGCAATGCAATTATCAAATTGTGGATAATGCACAATGTAAGTTGTGATTTGTTAAGTGGTATTTTGTTTCGCTCAAGTGCTCGAGCAATCTGGGAAGACCTTTGTGAGAGGTTTGATAAGGTGAATTCTTCAGGAAGGTATTATCTTCACAAAGAAATTTTTACCCTAACTCTGGGAACCTCATCAGTATCGGCGTATTATTCAAAGTTAAAGGATTTGTGGGATGAATATGATTCAATCATCCCTGCTCCACCTTGTGACTGTGAAAAATAAAAATAAAAAACACTTTGCGCATTTACAGTATCAACGACTTTGGCAATTTTTGATGAGCTTAAATGATGGCTATAGTCAAGCTCGGAACCAGATATTAATGAAAAATAAGGCACCTTCTGTGAATCAGGCATATGCCATGATTTAGCAAGATGAAAGTCAAAAAATAGTTGTTGGTAGTCACACTATCCCTATTGAGTCCATGGAACCAACAACCTTGTTTACTTCTAGGAATAACACCCAAAAGCAGAGAAGAAACTATAACGTCGAGTGTGATTTTTGTCACATGAGGGGTCACACTAGAGAGGATTGCTACAAACTTATGAAGTGCGACTACTATAACATGAAAGGCCATCTCAAGGAGAACTGCTATAAGATCATAGGTTATCCAGTTGATTTTAAGTCAAAGAAGAAGGGGGCTCCTGTAAGTGGTCATTTGGCTAAAACAGAAGTGCAGTCTGTACAACAACCATCAATGCTACAACCCCTTGTGTTTACACCTGATCAGTACAGTCAGATTTTGCAAATGCTAAACAACAGGTTCCTTTTTAGAATCTAGTGCTCACATGGCAGGTACCTCTTTTCCTAGTACACATATGGCAGGTACTTCCAGTTCTGTTCCTTCAATGGAATCTAGTTTGATAGTGGATATTGGTGCTACTAATCACATGATTAGCAATAACCAGTTATTGTTGAATGGTATTGAAATAAAAAGTTCAGGAGTCCAAATACCAACTAGAGAGTCAGCTAGGATTACTCATGTTGGGGACTGTGAATTGCCTGGAGGTGAACTAGTTAAGGATGTGTTATTTGTGCCCGATTTTAAATTCAACCTTTTGTCGGTTTCTAAAGTGACAAAGGATTTGAATTGTTGTGCATCATTCTATCCTGACTTCTTTGTGTTTCAGGAGCTCTTCAGTGGGAGGCTGAAGGCGATGGGTAGAGAACACGATAGCCTATATGTGTTGAAGTCGAGGTCTAGGAATGCTTCTCTTACTCACATCAAATCTACGGCGGTACAAACCATTACAGATTCAGAGATTTGGCATAAACGATTAGGCCATGTTCCTATGGCTGTAGTAAGGAAAATTTCCTTTTTTCAGAATAAGTCTAGCTTTACTTTGAACAATTGTGATATGTGTCCACTAGCTAGACAAACTAGGATTGTTTTTCCAACACATGCTAGCAGGTCTACTGAACCATTTTAATTGCTACATTTGGATGTCTGGGGTTCTTATAACATTGCTACTTATGATGACATGCAGTATTTTCTTACTGTTATAGATGACTTCTCTAGATGGACTTGGACATTTATTATGAGAGTTAAATCAGATGTTTCTTGTTTGCTTAAATCATTTATTGTCGTGGTTCTGAATCAATTGAAAAGAATATCAAGGTGGTTAGGTCTGATAATGGGGTAAAGTTTTTCAACTCTACTGTGGAGATCTGTTCAATACATATGGAATCATACGCCAAAGATCATGTCCATACCCACCTCAGCAAAATGGAGTGGTTGAACGAAAGTATAGACATATCCTTGAGACTGCTATAGCCATTAAGTTTCAAGGTGGTTTGCCCTCAAGATTTTGGGGCTGTTGCATTGAGGCATCAACATACATCATCAATAAAGTTCCCCTATCTGTTTTAAATAACAAATCTGCCTTTGAGGTTCTGTATAATCGTATTCCCTCTCTCTCAGAGCTGAGAATAATAGGATGCTTAAGTTATGCCTCCACTCTACCCAAACAAGATAATTTTAGTCTTAGGGCTATTAAGTCTGTTTTACTTGGCTATGGTGTCTTTCAAAAAGGCTAAAAACTTTATGATCTTGAGAAACACAAGGTCTTCATCAGTAGAGATGTGGTCTTCAATGAGTCCATTTTCCCATTCAAAAGTACACAAGGCAATTCTGAGATGTCTTTTCCAGAGGAGGTTGATCCTTGCAGATTTTTTACAGATGTTGCCATTCTTCATGTCCATCCTCTGTCCTCTATTGACTCTTTAGTGTCTGCAAGTTCACCTAGTGAGGCTGGCCAGTTGTCCACAGAGGCCATAGAGCCTCCCCATTCCTCTAATAGTGATGCAATACTTCCTGATCCTGTTACTGCTTCACAATCATCTTCACAAGAGACTATTCCTGCACCACCTTCAGGGCTTCGCAAATCTAACAGAACTTCTAAGCCATCTATATGGATGAAGGATTTTGTCATCCCTACCAAGCCTCAAGCTGCTCATACTTGTTCCTATCCTCTTTCTGCTGTAATCTCTTATGATTCACTTTCTCCCACTTATTAAAGTTTCCTTACCAGGTTCTCAGTAAAAGGTTGAACCCACAATTTATGCACAGGAAGCCAAGGACCCCCGCTGGGTTGAGGCTATACAACTTGAAATCAAGGCATTAGAGGATAACCACACCTGGAAAATGGTTCCTTTGCTAGAGGGGAAGAAGGCCATCGGATGCAAATGGGTATATAAAATCAAACACAAGGCTACTGGGGAAGTGGAAAGGTTCAAGGCTCGATCAGTAGCTAAAGGTTATAGCCAGCAGGAGGGTTTTGATTACCAAGAGACATTCTCCCCCGTAGTTAAAATGGTGATTGTACGAGCTGTCATTTCCGTTGTTGCTGTCAAGCATTAGACCATCCACCAAATGGATGTCTACAATGATTTCTTGCAAGGGGATCTTCAAGAAGAGGTATACATGAGCTTTCCACAAGGATTCAACTCTACAGCCGGGAAACACAATGCATGTCGACTTCTTAAATCTCTATATGGCCTTAAACATGCTTCAAGGCAGTGGAACTTGAAGCTTACCACTGCCTTGTTATCTTTTGGCTTCATTCAGAGCTATCTAGACTATTCTCTTTTCACCAGGAGATCTTGTGGGAAGATTGTAGCGATCCTAGTGTATGTCGATGATCTTCTCATCACTGGTGATGATTTGAGCATGATAGAAGAAACTAAAAGCAACCTACATTAGCGTTTCAAAATTAAAGACTTGGGGGAACTCAAGTACTTTCTTGGCATTGAATGTGCTCGGAGTAAAGAGGGTATCCTTATGCACCAAAGAAAATACGCCTTTGAGCTGATCTTTGATATGGGACTCACTGGAGCAAAGTGTGTGGGTGATCCTTTGGAGCTTAGTCACAAGCTCATGTCTTTTGAGTTCGACAAACACGTTGGTCACACTTCTGATGCCTTTTTGAGTGATCCCTGTGTTTACTATCGACTGTTGGGTAGGCTTTTGTACCTCACCATTACTATGCCTGACATTGCTTACGCCGTGCAAAATCTTAGTCAATCCATGCATTCTTCAAAGGTTTCTCATATGGAAGTTGTTGTTTGTTTGGTTCGATATATCAAATCTTCTCCTGGCATTGGTATTCTTATGTCTGTTGTTGCTGCTGATACATTGACAGCATTTTGTGATGCTGGTTGGGCTTCACATCCTATCACAAGGCGATCTGTCACATGCTATATGATTAAATTTGGTGCGTCTCCAATTTCTTGGAAGTCCAAGAAGCAAACCACCATCTCTAGAAGCTCTGCTGAAGCAGAGTATCACAGTCTTGCTGCAACAGTGGGCTGAGCTCGTGTGGCTTGCTGGTTTGTTCAAGGAATTGGCTGTGGATATTCAATTACCTATCTCTCTACATTGTGATAGTAAGTCTGCTATTCAGATAGCTGCTAATCCTGTGTTTCATGAGCGCACTAAACACATTGACATCGATTGTCATTTCATTCACGAGAATGTGCTTCTAGACCTAGTACACGTCCATTATCTGCCATCCTCTGAGCAGCAAGCTGATATTCTGACTAAGGCCCTCACCATCATTTAACATCGTTATCTCTTGTCCAAGCTATGGATGAAGAACATCTTCATCAACCCTAGCTTGAGGGGGGGGGGGGGGGTAAAAGAGCTCACTGATTGTACAACTGTCACTTAGGTGTCATTAGGTATTAAACCGTAGTTAGGCTAATTAACTAGAGTAGTTAGTTTGTTAATAGTGTGTTAGTTATATATCTACGGTGTATTTGGACATTGAGGCGGTTAAGTGGAAAATAACAGAAAAATCGTTTCACAATTTCTCTCTCTACTCTTTCTCTGCAGCTCGATCTTCTTCATTCGTCTCGGTCTGATTCTCCAAATCTATGAGAATTAACAGGTCTATTGTACGAAAGTCTTACCCTACATTTATGTAAGAGGCTGTTTTCACGGTTTGAACCCATGACCTCCTTGTCACATAGCAGTAACATTATCAGTTACGCCAAGGCTCCGGTCGGCCTCCGAAACATAAATAGAAATTAGTTACCAAGCATGCAATAGTGATACCTTCTCATTCCAATTGTATGGCATAATTTTTATTTATTTGATGTAAATAAAGATTTAACTAGACCTTGTAATGTCGGGAAAAAAGATCTTATCTGTTTTCTTTTTTCCAAAAATAGTTTTTCCCCTATTTCAAACAACTACATCGTCCATAGAAAAGATGACACGCAATCCCATATGGATATTGTTTCAAATCTGACTGAACATAATCTTTCACCTCAGGTAAAATCATGTGATTCAATACGTACAGATATTAATCCACAACATGAATTTGACACTACAACTGATACTATTCTTAACCACGTCGAATTGGGACAAGTGTCAGCATATTTCTACTACATTAAACACTATTTCATGCGAGTCTTTTTTACTGTCAATTTTTTGTTGTACTAAGATTCTTTAGATGATAGCTGACTTCTTGTAAAAGCCATAAGCTAACGCTTGAATTCTCCAACAGTTCACAGAGTAATTAGTGTCCCCCCCCC